ACGTATAACTTGAGCGTCGGAGGGGTTTCCGCCGGATCAACCCCCGGCTTAGTTCAAGTGTTCTATGATCTCAGGTACCTCAGGATCATCAAGTTCTCAAGCTACTGATCGGTGTTGCTCTCACAGTTCATATTGATCAACACATAAAGAGAGATATATATATATATATATATATATATATATATATATATATATAACTATTTAATTATTATCCCCAACAGTACTAGAAATGCACGAGTTTTATTTATTTTCTTCATTACATATACTGAAACAAAAATACCATAAATTTCATTTTTTCAAATTAACCAGTCATTTATTATTTTGCACTAATAACAATAATTTCTCTCTTTGTTTTTCTATCCTTTTTTCTATGCCTGAATGTAAAAGTTGGCAAGTTCTTTCTCGTGTGTGCCGGGCTTCGCGTCCACTATTATCCGATACATGTCCACATGATCGCTGGATTTTACTTTGATGGTCATTTGTACTTGCAAGTTTTCACCTTACGCGGCACTTACTCCGGCGACAAATCCATAGCAAACGACCCATATTCAAGGGCGTTAAGACCGGTTGCCAACATTGGTACACAAACCACATTAGCATCCGAATACATGAGGGTGGTTGTAATAAATAATAATTATGCAAATAATGATGTGTGTTATTTTTCTTTTTTTTTTGGTTTTTTGGTAATTAGACCTTACAAGTTTAAGGTGTAATTAGCCTTAATTTATACCCTTTAATTTATTGATCCAATATGCTACTTGCACTGCACATTCACATGTGCACGAATTTTGTATCAAATACTTTAGATATTTTTTTAATAGTAATAAATCATTTATTAAAGACAAAATATATTATGCATGTCATGAAGAAAAAACACTCATTTAATCTCATTTTCTTAAGGAAATCTCATATAAAAAAAATTCAAAAAACAATAAATAGATTTAGTATCTAATCTTTCAAAATCTCGTTTATTCATGGATACTTGCAATCTCCGTATGAAGGATCAACTGTTGTAATTATGCCAATATCCGGATTGCATGATTTTCGATAGATGTAGATCAGATCCAGAACATAACTTGCATGACTCAACACAGTGTTGGGATCGTAACATTGACCGCCCGGTTGAACGACCCCACAGTCAACTTCTCCACAAGCGTAGTTTATAAAGCCTTGCAACTTGTCTTGAGGAGCATTTGGTTTGGCAATGCACCACGTGTCGGGTATATCCTTCTGACCGCTTGGTTTCGAGTTTGTCTTGTAACCGTATGCGGCACCAAATAGACAACAAATTAAAAACAAAGACAGCATATTGATTTTGTCCATTATTATAAGTTTTGTCTATGTGTTCTTTGTTAGGGTTTAATGAAAAAAATGGACAAGTTCATTTAGTTTAAATAGTAGCTAGTTGCTACGTAAAATCAATTATATGAAACTTACATGGTAATTGATTCTAATTGCAAGTGAATATATTATACAAGAGGATTGTGTAATATTAAAACAAAATATCGTGACATAATTAAATTTAATACTTAAGTAAAGATAAGATAACTTTATAATATGACATTGTAACAAAATTACAACAAGGAAAACATGCATTTTTATAAGCTAATTAATATTTGTTTTGAGGGGAATTGATATGCATATATTAAAAAAATTGAACGTAGATTATTTGTAGAGTATGTGGCCCAAATGAATTCTTTGTGAATGGCCCATTAAAATCCCACCTTGCAACCCACTTACGAGCAGCCCACAAAATTTGAGCCCAAAATTAAAAGTCAGCCCAATCTCACTAGGTTTTCCCTTTCTCTCTCTCTTCACCTCTTTTTTCTTATATCGGTGTTTTGTTTTTCCCAGCAGATTTGTTTTCTAATCTGCTCCTTTTTTCTCTCAACAAATCTTGGTGATTTGTTACCTAATTCTTAGTGAGTTTGGTAGATGATTTGGGCGTATAAGTGCACCCTTTTCTTTTTTCTGTGTGAGATGTGAGAGACGAAAAAAAGGCGTGGAAAAATAGAGACAGAAAAATAGAGTCGAGAAAAATACTTTGTGTATTTGAGAGGGAAAAATAGAGTGAAAAGAGAGAAACCCTTTTTTTGAGAAGAAAAGCTCGATTCTTTCAATGAATTCGAGCTTACTTCTTTAGGGATAAACCGGTGAGATTAGGGTTTGAATTTGGGTTTCGTTTTCTTTGTTTTTCCATTGGAGTACACTGTGTGTGTGCGTGTGTGTGGCTGCCGTGAGTGTTGGAGGCCCCACTTGGATCTTGGACGAGGACTCGGAGATTGAGGGCTGAGCCGGAAAATCGACGACCGCCGGAGCAACCGTCGGAGATATATCGTTCGCAATTCTGTGTGAATTGCATGGTTCTGTTCCTTACCTTTGTCTTATTCATTTTTCAGCATAAAATAAATTATATTCTATGTTAATTGGCATTAATATTTAGAATATAATATAATGGATACGTGACTCACATTCTGCTTATGTATGTTGCTGATTGTTGTTTTCTGTTTTCGGTAATTGCTGTCATCAATTTAGTTATTAATTAAGTGTGTTGATTAATTATATTATATTATATTTTAATTGTTTCTAATAAAATATGAGTATTTTGATTTTGTGTGGTTTGTCTTCTCCGGGCGGATACCCAACATTATTACAACAGAATTTTCAGTAGGATAATTGATTCCCCCTCATTAGTGCAGTATTATTTAGTGTGGCAAACACAATATGAATATCTATATAATTTATTTTGTTTCATTGCTTCACAATTTCAATGCTACATTACTTACATATTTTCAAGCGGAAATTCAACTTTTCATCCTAGCTTGTACTTTGGCTCGATATTAGTTTACCTCCTACTCTCGATGGATCGATTTACCCCCTTGCCCTTTGAAAATTGTCTCAACGTGGCTCTTGCCGTTAGTTTTCAGACCTTTGACATTGACACCGTTTGATCTAAGTCTGAAAATTACAAGAAAACCATCCCTCCCACTTTTAATAATTATTAAAGTTAATAATAATAATAACAGCAAGGGCTACATTGAGACAATTTTTGAAGTGCAGAGGATCAAATCGATGCAATTGAGAATATAATGGGGTATTGTGATATCGAGCCAAAGTAAAAGGGGGAAAACAAAATTTACCGTAATTGTAATTACTCTGTCTGGAAATTCTCAATAGTGGCTCTAAAATAGTTCACAAAATTTTATTTTTTAGACCTATGAGGCACTATAATATTAACTACGTTAAATGATGAATTACTTTATTTTTATAATATGATTATGGCTTGATTGTTACGTTGTCCTTTTATGTAATTATTTCAGTTGCATATATTATACTAAATTCTCAATACAATTTTCAAAAAACAATAAATAGATTTAGTATCTAATAAGGGATTTTTATGCAAAAGTCCCCAACCAAGCATGTTTATTATTCTAGGTTTAGGGGACATATCTCTTTTACCAATAAGCTCATCCCTTTAATATTTATTATAACTAAAGGAAACATTCATGTATATCCCAATATTACCCTCAACCATTTATACCCAATTCTTAATTGTAATCCAAATTAATCAATTTTGTCCATAAAAGTTCAATTTTGACCACAAAAATTCAATTTTGACTTTTTTTTGGAGTATAATTTAATATGCTCCAATTTCATCCTTAACTTAATTTAATCTCAATTTGACCCCAAATTTCACAAATTATTAAATTTTGACCCAAAATTTTTTTTTTTTCAAAAAATATTTTTTTTTTCAAAAACTTTTTTTTTGCCGCCGGATTCCGGCGTTGACTTTTTTAATTTTTTTTTTTTTTTTTTTTTTCTTTCTTCCGGATTTTTCGCCGGTTTCCAGCGTTGACCGGCGTTGACTTTTTTTTTTTTTTTTTTTTTTTTTTGCTTTTTTCTTTTTTTTTTCTTTTCTTTTCTTCCGGATTTTTTCGCCGGTTTCCGGCAGTCTCTTTTTTTAGTGTTTTTTTAAGTTTTTTGTTTTGTTTTGTTTGGTTTGTTTTGTTTTTCCACGTCCGCCGCTAAACGTTGACCGTAATTGTGCTGTCACTGACAGTAAATTAACGTAATTATACTGTCAATGATAGTTAATTAACGTAATTGTACTGCCGTTGACATTACATTTATGTAATTGTGTTGCCGTTGACAGTAAATTAATGCAATATTATATTTTTTTATTTATTAATTTTTTTTTTTATTTTTTTTTGATTTGTTGACAAGTCAACGTAATTATATTACTGTCGTTGACAGTAAAATAACTGTAAACACAATAATATTACTGTCAACAACATCAATATTATTATTTTTTTGTGGTGTTTGTATTAATATTACTGTCTATTATTGTAATATTACTGTAAACACAATAATATTACTGTGGTTGACGGTAATATTACTGTTTGTTATAGTAATATTCCTGTCAACTACATCAATATTATTCTTTTGTTTGGATATTTTGTTTGTTTGAGTTATTCACGGAGTAACGTAATAATATTACTGTCTACTATTGTAATATTACTGTTGCTATAGTAATATTACTGTTGCTATAGTAATATTACTGTCACTCACAGTAATATTAATTCTTTTGGTTTTTTTATTTTGTTTACATTTGTTGAACGGACAACATAGTAATATTACTTTATTGTCAATAATAATGAATTTTGTTGTGTTAATATTAATGTGCTAGAGATTAATATAGCAATATCACTGTGTTAAACTATAGTTTAGTTATTTTTACTGTGTTTAACAGTAATATAGTTAATATTACTGTCATTCAAAGCAATATTGTTGTTTAAACGGAAAAAAAAGTTACAGAAAAAAAAATTAAAAAAAAAATAAAATAAAAAAAATAAAAAAAAGTCAACGCCGGAGACCGGTGTTTACCGCCGGTCAACGCCGGAATCCGGAAAAAAAATCCGGAAGAAAAAAAAAAAAAAAAAAAAAATTAAAAGTCAACGCCGGAATCCGGAAAAAAAAAATCCGGAAGAAAAAAAAAAAATTAAAAGTCAACGCCGGAATCCGGAAACAAAAAATCCGGAAGATAAAAAAAAAAAAAAAGTCAACGCCGGAATCCGGCGGAAAAAAAAAGTTTTTGAAAAAAAAAAATTTGTGAAAAAAAAAAGTTTTGGGTCAAAATTGAATAATTTGTGAAATTTGGGGTCAAATTGAAGTTAAATTAAGTTAAGGATGAAATTGGAGCATATAAAAGTAAGAGGGGTTATTTTAGTCCTTTACATAAATCTGGACCATGTGTGGACTTATTGGTAAAGGAGAATATTGTCTGGATCTCTTTATGAATAAGTTCCCACTGATGGGCTTATTTGTAATATGCCCATCTAATAATACTTTTAACCAAGGAAAAAAAAACATTTATTTAGTACAGATTTTGGAGAAATATTTATTGAACTAGTCTTATAGCGCTTAATATTCTTGAATATTCCTTCGGGGATATATCATGGATACTTGCAATTTCCATATGAAGGATCAATTTGTACTACCATACCAACATGCCAATCGCATGTTCGATTCTTGACGTAGATCAGATTTAGAACGTAATTTGCATGACTCGTTATAGTGTTGGGATCATAACATAGACCGCCTGGTTGAATGGCCGAACAGTCAACAACTCCGCAACCATAGTTTATGAATCCGAGCAAGCTGTCTTGAGAAGCTTGTATATTGGAAATGCACCAACTGTTGGCTAATACCTTCTCACCATTTGGTTCGAAGTTTGTCTCGTAACCATACACAACAACACCAAATAAGCAACAAATTAGTAACAAAGAGACATTGATTTTGTCCATTTCGATCTTGTCTAGTGTTGTTGTTTTGTTAAGGTTTTTCCTATGCAATATAATGAAAAAGAAATGGACAAGTTGGTTGAGTTTAAATAGTAGCTAGTTGCTACTTGCTACATTGATTATATTGCATGCGTAAATTCAATGTAATCTAGAAAATCAATATATGAAACTTTATATGGTAATTGATTCTAATTGTAAGTGAATATATTACACAATCAGAGGAATGCGTAATATTAAAACAAAATATCGTGACATAATTAAATTTAGGGAAAATTGCACTTTGCCCCCTAAAAAATGTCATTTTTGCACTTCCCCCCTCAAAATAGAAAAATGAGACTCTCCCCCCTTTGAAATATATGACGTGGTGCACTTTGCCCCCAATGTGTACTTTCGAGCTAATTGTTGTCGGATTTGAGTAAATCTGAAGGGTAATTTCGTCTTTTAAAGCTTTAAATGTCATGTGCCCTTTTTTCACCCTACATTACAATGATTACGAAGAACAAAGAACAAATTTCGTCGAAT